CCGTAGCAAATTGAGATCACAAAGGCAAAAAACCTGTCGACATTTGCTAAGCATTTGCCACATGCGCAAATCGCTTCATGTCTGCGGTGTGACAACTGCGAAACTCGCGACGTTGCAAGTCCACTTGGGCCAGACCTCATAAAAGGATGATGCTTACAATTCATAAGGAGGGAAGCAGAGGCAGTTCGCCTCACAGTGAAGGTGCGCATGTACTTTCAGAATCTGCATGCATACGCTGATCGTATCCACCTTGGAGACTCCCTGCTGCCACCAGATCGCACGTCCACCGGCTCGGGTAGCGGTGCTGCGGCTGAAGCTCCATTAAATGGGACTCAAAATGGATAGGTAGCGTTCGTTCATCCATAAAGGTGCTGGTCCGGGAGCGCTCGGAACGATGGGCAGGCTACCAGCGGAACTGAGATGCCATGTGCGTATCCACCTGACTCCCTGCGCTCGAAGCTGCAGTACGCTCCTACTCTAGGTATACCGGGGCGTCGAGCACACTACGCATCAGCCCGGTGCTCCGCCTGCTGCTGGACCCGGCCAGTGTCCGTACATGCATATGTACAGTGCTCTCGCTCACCAGAGAGTCCACAACCCAGGCCTCACCGTGGCGGGATGTTCGTGTATGTCTCGACCCCGTCATAAGCCTCACTTCAGCCGGCTCTCCATGCACGCTCTTTGCCGCCATTACTTTTACCCCTGCGACTCCTCCGATACTCGAGACGCCTGCATTTCGACCGCCTTTTGGCTGTCCTTGTACTTGCGCACTCTAGACCTGCCATTCCGATACACCGCGTCTCATGTTCCCTTCTCGTTCCGTAGATGAGCTACCACCGATCCCACATCCACAAATCATCATCCCCCGACACTCGCCCCGACACTTGCCCGATTGCCCGGCCCGTGTGGCTCTGGTGCAGGGTACGATCCGCTGTGACACTCTAAGTATACTCGTCTGTTTTCTCCCTGTACACTGATGCATTCTCTCATGCTCGCTCGCTCGTTGTTCGCTTCTCTCGGCATTTATGCATAGCTCTCTTCAATAGTCTGATTTCTGCGACTTTTCTGTGCATTTTCTATACTGCTGTGATAACTGGATCAGTTAGATATAATAAAAATGATTGTCTATCAACTCATGCAATGTCTATTGTGAGCTGGCAAGCCAATTCTTCATCTGAGTAGATGGCAAATTGCCCATCATTTCCCAGACCTCACCTGGCATTGCCTGACATTGCCTGACAGGAGAGGGAATTACCTGCCATAGCCTGACTGGCCAGCAATGGTCCTGGCGTGATGGCAGTAGCCCTGGCCCGATGAGGGTAGTCAAACCCCAAGGGGTTACAGATAAGCATGGGCAATATGTCGTCTGCCAGACGAGGTAGATATTGCAAGAATTGCCCAGATTTGGGTAGGTATGTACAGATCCGCCTTCGACATTTTTGCTGATGTAAGTGCCCGATGAACTGACTACACAGGGATTCTCGATTAGCGCTCAGCTCTTTAACTACTTTTTACTTTTCGTCGCCACTCGTCGAGTCGTTGCTGAATGCACGGTGGTTATATACAGCGGTCTGGGTCCGTCGAAGTCCGTGTTGAACGGATGACTTCACTGACAGCGACGCGGGCGATTGATAGCTTAAATATGCGTCATGATTGTGGCTCAGGAGTCAGAAGCGTTCTTGATGAATGCTGTCGCCGATAATTGACGCATTGACGGCAATAAACGAAAGTGCGATAATATCTACCATGAACAGTCCGTGTAATGGCAGCACATGTAGAGCCTTTTATGTAAAGAGGTACAGTGAACGTCGACGAGCGAGGATCAGTGT